ATTTAATTACATCTCACAACACTCTAATACAAGAGCATAAGAGAACAAAGAAAGTCAAATACAATCTTAAAGAGCTTTTGACTAGTGCATCTTTGAATGAAAAACTTGATCCTATATATAGCTTTGGATTCCCTCTTCCTTCACAAAACTAAGCAATGTGAGACTTCAAAAAATTTGTATACTATATATAGCCTTAGATTCTCTCTTCATTCACAAAACTAAGCGATGTGGGACTTCTTCGATATGTATATTTTCAACTAACCCCAGTAATCTCCACCTTGATTGAAAATAATACATAAGCTTTCATTGTCTTCACCAACAATCATACTCCACTATAAAGAGTATTAATGTAACACCCCACTCTAAACTATCGCGGAAAAATAAGATAAACAACAGAAACAATTCAGAGTGTAGCAAATAAAATCTCATGACGACCGTCATGGATGTCACGACCGTCACGATCATGACGAGCGTCATGGAGCTGTGACGACCGTCACGCTCCCAAATTCTCAGACGCAGCAGAGGTGTCACATTCTACACTTAACCAAAACACATACACCTGCAAAAGCTCATTTACTAACACACGTAGCACAAAATTCGGATGAACAAACAACGGTAACTTGTTTAACATTTTAATCATAAACTCCATGTTATAATACACTTCCAACGATTCGTACGGGGATCAAAACGGACTTACGGATCCAAAGTTACGTCCAAAACAATTTCGACCAAAAACATGAACATCTGTGACGGACAAAAAGACACTATTACGCTCCGGAACTGATTTTCGCTCAATTATTCTTGCGAATTACTTACTCAAGGCACCCAAAACATCACTAAAACATTCCTAAGGTTATACGGCAATAACTGCACAACTTCTATGGTTTATTAGGCTCATCTGGCAACATTTGTAACACATAAAATACTATTTCCTACAATTGCTCTGAGTACTTCAGAGTTACTCACATTTGAATATTCTTATTCCTATAAGGACAACATATCACAATTTTCCCTTCAATTACACCCTACGACATTTAAGTTACTTACTATCTAATATTTAACCCTTCAGGGTCAGACATATAACAATGTCAAGGTTCTGGTCACGAAAGTTCAATTTCCCATAAGTTTTACCTATATTAATATTCAACGATACATATCATTTGGCCATTTGACCTTAACCTCAGATTCTTACCGTTACCTCCCTATTTCCCACAATTAACCCAAATCTCTAAACCTTAGGGAAACCTTAGAGCATCGTACTAATAACGATATAACACATTAATTTCTACATATATACCCAAATCCCTAAACCTTACATCACCACAACATACCGAAAGGTATACATAGAAAACTATGAAAAGCAATACTCTCCATACAATAATCATTCAAGAACAGCAACAATTTTATGGAATTTATCATGCTACGAAAATTAGATCAAGAATCCTCAAGAACACATAATTCCTATGAGAGAAAGGACCTCTCACTACCCTCTCAGGTTAATTCACCCATATTAAAATCCATTCTCCCCCCCTTACTTCTCTAATAGTTCCCTAATTCCCTTTATTCCATCTAATAATAATAATAATAATAATAATAATAATAATAATAATAATAATAATAATAATAATAATAATAATAATAATAATAATAATAATAATAATAATAATAATAATAGTAATAATAATAATAATAATAATAATAATAATAATAATAATAATAATAATAATATTACTACTAGTTATTAAATTATCATCATTATTAATTATATTATATTATTATCAATCTCAATGATTTAATAAATGGTTTCCTATACTTTAAGGATACCCACCATCGCTCTCAGACACACTCCCACGTAAAGGCACACCGACAATTCATAAATAATTTAATTAAAATGAACGGGCGTTACAATTAACATATATATTTTCAACCAACCCCAACAATCTCCACCTTGATTGAAAATAATACATAAATTTTTATTGTCTTCACCAATAATCATACTCCACCATAAAGAGTATAGTCACTTGAAGCTACATCACTCCAAAAAATTTCACATTGTCTTCACCGAAAATCATAGTTTTAAAAACTATCATACTCTCTCATGAAAAATATATTTCACTTAAAGATAAATCACTTCAAGAATTTCAAATTGTCATCATCGACAATCATATACTTTATCATGAAGAATAAATTTCACTTGATGATAAACCACTCAAAGAATTTTTACATTGTCTTCACCGACAATCATAAATTTAAAAAACTATCATACTCCACCTAAAAAAGAGTATACTTCACTTGAAGCTAAACCACTTCAAGAATTTTCACATGTCGAAAATTAGGTTGAAACATTATGGTGTAACTTCCTTGTTGGCAGGAAGCTCTTCAACCACCGACATAATCTTGTACCTTGTGCAATCTTGATTGTATCAACACATCTTTGACTTGAACCTTCCACAAGTCAAAAAATTCTTTCATCAAATTTTCTCTAGCACAAACTGCACAGCGGAATTTATGACTGTAGCTCAACGACTCTTTCACAACCCTGCCCTTCTTTTCTGATGTGGAAAATCAGACAAAACTGGAACACAGAGCATACTAAGAACACTTATTCATGGGTCGAACCAGGCTCTGATACCTGTTGTTGGTAAAAAATAAACATAGAGAAAAAGGAGGAACAAATAACAACACTAGAGATTAACGTGGAAACTCCAAAACTGAAGAAAAAAACCACGACCGTTGTCCATAAACAACCAGAGAATAACACTATGTGAAAATTGTTACAACACATAATATACCCTCAACTAATCCAGGCCCCCAGTACATCCACACTCTCAAAAACAAATATTTAACTACATCTCACAATACTCTAATACAAGAGCATAAGAGAACAAAGAAAGTCAAATACAAGTTTAAAGTGTTTTTGACTGGTGCATCTTGGAATGAAAAACTTGATTCTATATATAGCCTTGGATTCTCTCTTCCTTCACAAAACTAAAAAATGTGGGACTTCAAAGAAGTTGAATACTTATATATAGCCTTGGATTCTCTCTTCATTCACAAAAATAAGCGATGTGGGACTTCTTCAATATGTATATTTTCAACCAACCGCAACAAAAACTATGCCTTGCACGTGTGCTCATAAGCTTAAAAGTTAACTCCTATCTTAATCCTGAGTCATCGGCTAACTTAATTTCAAATGCTTGGACTTCAGTTATATTTCTATGTGATGTTAGCATATGTGTTATCTTTAGTAGTTGCATAAGGTGATTATGGGCTGATATAAAATTATGGATGGCAAACTTTTCATTTTTTAATACAATAGAAATTCATGCTTTGCAATCCGTTCTGGTCTCGATTCTATGGTTGCTAACAAAAGCATTCCTCTTGTCTACCTTTCCTAGTCATTCCTTACAACAAACAAATCTACACCATAATATAGATCCATATTTTTATTCTTATTCACGTAGCGCTTCCTAATTCCAAAGCCCATATTTTCACCATATGTGAGGCAAAATTGATAAGTTGCCTCCGATGAATCAAATTTCATACCAAACATTGACTTCCAACCAATATTTGAAGATGTCAATTTTTTATCATACTCCTAAATAAAAAATAGTATAAATGAATAAAATAATAAAATTATATATTTAATAATTATATTTCTAACAGTATATTTAATGTCACATATAAAAGAAAATCTAATTTATTAGTTTCTAATTTAAAAACAAAGTATAATCACAAGTAAGACATTTTTCATAAATTCTTTGAAGGAAAAATAGAAAATAACACAACATATTAACAGAGATAACTATTTGCCAACATAAAATAGAGAACAACCATAATAAGAGTAGGAGAAAGTAAAGTATGGCAATGACAACAATTAATGTTGACAACAATCAACAATGAGTGTGGTGGTGATGGCGGTGAACGATAATAACAACGATTAACGACAATAATGATAATCAATAATGAGTGTGGTGGCGTTAGCGATGACACTGAGGATAATGCAACAACGACGATCAGTAATGAGTATGGTGGCGTTGACATGAAGGTGGCGTTGACATGAAGGTGAGTGGCAATGACAATAATTAATGGCGACGATGAAGGTTAATAATGAGTATGGTGGTGATAACCACGGTCACCGACGACATTGTTGGTGACAATGAAGATCATCACTAAAAAAAGAAGTTGTGGTTCAGCTTTTTAGATACAGAGCTTAGAAAAAAAATTGTTTTTGTTCAGTATTTTTGTTTTAGTTTTACTTGTTAAAATAAAATTTTCACATATATCAACGTATAATACATTAAATTAATCTAATGGTGAAAGAAAAAGAAAAGTCACTATAATTTTTTTGCCCGAATATTAGAGAGTTTCTGTTTTCTTCCTTTAAAATTTGTTTGCTTTTTGTGAAAATTTTGACTTAACATTTTTCTTTTGTAAAAGCAAAATAAGACATTTTACAAAATGTTAGAAACCTGGAGTAAAATAACATTTTTTCTATTTCATAAAAAATATCTTATTTATATTTTTGTTATGTCTTAAAATAATTGTCTTTTTATAATTTCAATGAAGCATTTATTATGATTTTTTTTATTAATATACCTCTATTCATTACCTTTTATTTCATTTTCTTTTAACTATAATTAATAAAAATATTTTAGTACAAATGATATAAATTTTATAACTAAAACAAATACATTTAATTATTTTCTTAAGAGTAGCACATGAAACATTTTTAAATAAAAATGTTTTATGAAACGAGGGAGTAGGTCCTATCGGGAAAAGAGTCCAAATAGGTAATTTTGATATTGGGTCATGTTATAATTGATATGTGATGCGTGTGGTCCTAATAACATGAAGAGTATAGGATTGGGAAAGAAAGAACCACTTATACTCTAACACTGAATACTAATTATGTTATGTCCCTTCATTCAGTGAGCTTTCACTTCCACTCTAACTATCATGCTCTCACCCACTGTTATACTTTCCTTCCACTTCCACCCATGACTTCCAAAACGCGTCGTTTAACCACCTGTCACCGCCACCCTTCCAAACCCATCACCGGTTTTTGCGCTTCCTGCCTCACCGAACGTCTCTCCGGCATCGAATCCTCTTCCACTGACCCCGAACTCCGCCGTACCAAATCTTGCTCCGGTAGCGGTCGAACTTCCGCCGCCGTTGAACCCCGCCGTAGGTCTTGTGAGATCCTCGCTGTTCCGGAGCTGAAACATGGCACGCTGTCGGACCTCTTCAATCTCGACGATGAGAAGAAGAAGAAGCAGACTTCGAATCGGAATGTCGAAATATCCGGTGTTGAGATTAGTGATTTCGACGGTGGTGATACTCTTAGGGTTTTAGTCGAAAATGACGAAGAGACGAAGACGATGAAGGAGTTTATAGATCTTGAAATTCGTAGCGGGAAGAACGGGGGAAGAGATTCAAGAGGGGGTTTCTGGGACGCGGCTTCGGTTTTCAGCAAGAGGTTGAGGAAATGGAAGCGCAAACAGAAGTTGAAGAGAAGCGGCGGTGCTTGCGACGGCTATGTCACCGGCAATGGTGTTGGTTTGACGAGGATGGAGGTTGAGAAGCATAGGACGAGGAATTGGAGAGAGACGCAATCGGAGGTTGGAGAGTATGGTTTATCATCGCTTGGAAGAAGATCATGCGATACTGATCCTAGGTTATCTGTGGATGATTCGAGGTTTTCATTCGATGCACCTCGAGCTTCTTGGGATGGTTATTTGATTGGAAAAGCGTGTCCAAAATTTTCTCCTATGGTTGCTATTAATGGTGATAGGGTTTTGGTTGAGGAAGAAGAAGAAGGAGAAGAAGAGGTGGTGAATTTGGAAAGTGGTGGTGGTGGTGGAGAGCATTATCCTGGTGGTTCAGATCAGACAAAGCATTACTATTCGGATCGGAGAAGGAGAAGTTTTGATAGGTCAAATTCTCGTAGGAAATCGATGGTGATTGGAGATGTTGATGAGTTGAGAGTGATGTCTAATGCCAAGGTTTCACCGGCCACTACTGAGTTATTCTATGGTGCAAAAGTCTTGATCACTGAGGAAGATTTGAGGGGTGCTAATTTGAATCCCAAGAACAATGTTATTGTTCATTCTGATTGTACAACAGGGTCTTCTTCTAAGGAAGCTTGTGATGTTGAAATTGGAGTTGATCAAAAGGGGCCGAACAAGTTTCACAAATGGGGCAAGTTGTGGAATAAATTGGGATTAGTACAGAGGAGAAAGGAAGATAAGTTGGGAGAGGAAGAATGTGTTTCTGGTGATGTTGTTAATAAGCCAATAGCCGAGTCTTGGCAGAAGCTTAGGAGGGTTGTTAACGGACAAGGGAGCGAATCGGTTAGTGAGAAGCTTATTCGTAGCTATAGCGTTAGTTGTAGAAACCATAGTAGAATGTCTGGTTTAGTCAATGGCCTTGCAGGTCCTGAAACCAAAGGCAATGTTTTGAATGGAAGACAAGAGCTTACGCTTCAAAGGAATCGAAGTGTTAGGTACTCGTCGAGTAATGTTGACACCGGCCTGCTAAGATTCTATTTGACACCGTTGAAGAGCTATCGGCGAAGCAGGTCTGGAAAGAGTAGCAGGATTTGAATCCATCCACAAGAAGTTTCTTGTAAAGCTGTAACTTTTGATTAGAAAAATTATATATAGTGTTGTTGTTTCTCTCTATTAGATAAAGTTCATCACCCTGTTAAATTTTGGTTGCAATTGTTCACACTATATGTTTGTGGCAGAATAGAACATTGATACCACAATATTATTGGCATAATAAATTTCTGATTGCAACAATGCTAAGAGTAATATGATCTTCAACACTAGATTTTACTAAAATTTGTTTACATTTGCTGAATCTTTGTCATTTTACATATTCTGACAAAGTTAAAAGAGTGAATATTTGGATTTTGTCATGTACTCTTTATATCTCTGTTGGTAATGTCCCTGCTACTTCTGGATATATCTTCATTTTCCACTGATTTTGTTGATTTTTTTTTAAAAACATCATTTGAAGATCTTACTATAGCAAGTTTTTCTGATCAGCTTCAAGAAACAATATCATCAGCTTCAGATCTTGACCAGGTTGATGTCAGGTTTCTAGTAGCAGTTAACGTTGTACTGCAGTTGAAGCCTGACTATTCATAAAGTGGATGCGTTTTCACTTTTGTCTAATCCTCCTACCATGTCGTGTCTCTATGTATAACAACATACGTTGACTTTAATTTGAAAATTTTCTTTTGCTTAAACATTATAATTGCGCAAATCCATTGTTCAGGGAACCATGAAAAGAAACTGAATTGGATTCCACACCAGTGATCTTTTTCTGGAGGATTCTTCTTGTTTCCATTCATGTCTTTCTTTACAGGGACATGTTATAAAAAGCTCGATCCTTTAAACGGTGGAGTACTTGATTGCTAAACAATATCTTTTGAAAGGTTATTTAAGTTGAAACGGAACTCATCAAGTAAATTAAATTACCACAGAGCCACTTGATTGTAACACACTGTTTAAAAATTTGAACACAATATCTAATCTGCAAGATCTTTGAGATATGGATCGTGTGTATTGAATTGCTTCAATTGACCCTTGCAAATTGGGGTGAGAATAGGCCTGATCGAGCTAGTCTGAGTCTGGTCTACTAAAAATTTTAAAACTTAAGTTTGACCTATGGTCTAATAACCTACATAAAAGTTTATTGTATTTGATCATTTGTAAATAAATAATCATTACTGTTTAAATAAACTAAAAAAATTATAAGATCAATGAGGCTAAATACTTATTTGCATTGACTTATTCAAGTTTATATATTAACATAAGTTTTTTATATTATTTGTTTGAGAAAATTTATGAAAATAACTTATGACATTTTTCATAAGGTTTTTTTACTTATTTTCATATGATTTTTAAGATAACTAAGCTTTACTTTTTTACTTTAATTCAAAATACACATAAAATATAATAATAATAATAATAATAATAATAATAATAGTAATAATAATAATATTTATATTTATTTAAATAGGCCGTCCTAATAGGTTTAAAAGATTTTTTTAGGGCATCTGACCTAACTTTTTTTAATTAAATAGACTTATAAAAAAGCCTAGACCTTTTTCTATTTGAAAAAAAATCTGATCTGGTCTGAGTTTGTGTAAGTTAGGTCATAGGTCCCTATTAGTTGGTATGGCCTATTGTCATCCCTATTTGTAAATAACCAAACGTGTTGGCTCACACATCAAGAGATCGTGGATTCAATTTTAACTATCTTTTTTGAGCCTTAAAGCTTGTCGGAACCCACGAGTCCGAAACTCATTTTAAGCCTTGAGGTTTACCATGACCCTTATAAGCCCGTTTCAGCTATTTGTTAAATTTCATTGATATGTTTATATGGTAATTAAATTTTATTGATATGTTTATATGATAATTAAAAGGATCTCTATTTTTTTTAGTAATTTTATTAAATTATTCTAATTGTGTATTCGAATTAATATTAATACAAAGTAAAAAAATCAATAAATTAAGAGTATTAATTAGGGAATATAATTGAAATTTCTTAATAATTTTATTAAATTTTTCTTATCACAAATATTTTGAGACAAATCTTTTAAATATGACGTTGGAACCCAAAACCTCTGTTAAGTTTGAAGATCCTTTACCATCTCATCCGAGCAGCATACTTCAGATGAAATTCAGTATGGCACCTTACTATTTAACATTACTATTTAACATTTGTTACAGCTATGTTTGCATGAACAACTAAAAATTGATGCTATTAAGAATTCAAGCTTAACAGCTACTTGTTTTTTTTGGAGACAAATGGCAATAATTCTTTGGATCTATAGACAGAGCATCAGATATTGACAAATTTGTTCCACTCCTACTGCTAGAATTATGCAAAAATGAAAATGAGAAAGCTATGAAAAGCTTATTATCCAGCCATTGAAATTACTTACACAAACACACGAGGATTCACACCAACAATGAAAAGCAGAGAGAAGAGTCTATAATCTTTCAGTATTAATCAACATTCTTATCAGTTCATTATTTATTATGTAGCAATCATATGTTTCCTAAAGTTTACAACTTTAACCAGAAATCAGTTAATGAAACATAGGAGTGAAACTTGAATTCACTATGCAGTCACTCCACATCAATGCCCTTTTCTCGAAGCTCGGCAACGACCTCATTCTTCATCTTCAACCACATCTTCTGAGCTTCTTCATCAACCTTCTTTCTTTGTATCTCCTCGCATCCACATTCATCCTTATCACTTTCAATCAACCCTTTTAGGGTGGCTCCAATCATCTTTCCTTTGGCTACGAATTCCTTCACTGATTCTACATCACTAGGGTACAAATTTGCTTGCTCAAGCTTCTCCTTTAGCTGTGGTGACTTCTTCCTCCACCACTCCGTTGGTGAATTATCGTTGTAAATCCATAAAGCACCAAGTATGGTGTAGGTGCAAAGTAAGGCCTTTCCAACTTGTTTATAGAAGTAGTAGTCTTCACTTTCTACCCCGATTTTATTCATGTATTTTTTTGCACTAATTGAACTCAACATATGAAAACCTGCATTGGAAAATTAGAACATAAATACAATTAAAGAATAACTTAAGGAGAGATTTCTGTGTGAGACATTTTATCGAACAGTTGGTGAGCAAGTTTTATTGCACATAGAAAGTTACCTGTTTTGGGGTCCTTTAAACGCTTGGGAAACATTGCGGAAATGCAAGTTTGATGAGTGTTAGTTTATGGAGGGAGAGATAACTTTTTTAATGATAAGCTTCAAAATCAAAAGGGATAATAAGCGATTGTTTTTGCATAAGTTGCGGAAAACTTGGATATAGCTATCATCAGCTTCTGCTTATATGCATTATGGAAAATTGTGAACCAAGACATTTAAATTACCAGATTTTTTAGATAAATAAGTAAAAAATTGACGGTGCAAATGTTTATATACTAAAAATAGATAATAAAAAATTTCAATGAGGAATTAAATTGATAATTTTGCATAAATATTCCATTATAAATATTTAATTATCCGTTTTTTACCGAGTTGGATAAGAGTTTGATGGTATATATATTTGTGAACATTCCATATTCGTTAATAATTAAAAAGACAATTGAAATATTTTTTAAAATTATTATATTTAATAAAAAAAATTCATTAATAACCACTTAATTTAATTTGATAATCTTCTTTTTATTTAATCTTCATATGTTTTTTTCGTGTCTTCTTCAAAAGTTATACACATAATTTTTTATTTATATTATATAAAAAAAATTAATAAAATTATAATTTTAAAATTAGATATTCATAGATACCCGTAAATATCCGCGAGTAGGGGTGGCAAAGTGCGTGGTCCGTCCCGTTTAGGTTCGTCTCATTTAAGTCCATCCAAAAGTGGGGCGGAGCGACTTAAGCGTCCGAGCTCAAAAGTCAAATCTCTGTTTACTAAAAGATTCCAATTAAGAATTTACAAAAGACAAACAATGATAACAGTTACATTACATAAAACATCACAATGTAGAAAATAATAGTATAAAATATCAAGACTTGACTTTCTCACTGTTTACATCATATAGACTTTTATTTTGACTGATTCCTTAATTGTTAAATCCTAAATTTGTCACATGTTACACTAATCAGATCCTTCATTTTCTTAAAATCAACATCTATTTCTAAAGAAAACATGTGAGCTAATGTTTGACAACTTAATAATTCAGCATGTCATACAATTGTTCTTTTATTTCAAGTTTTTCCAATCAACACATGTATTAGAAAGTTATAGACAGAACGTTATAATTATAATTCAATTTGTTTGTATAATAATTTATAATACAATTCAATCAATATAATTCTAATAGAAGAGTGTTGTTTTTATAGTTAAAATTGTTTTAATTCTAAGTTAGAAAATAAAAATGTTTGAACAAAAAATCCACGGGCGAAATCTGTCCCGCTCCGGTTCGACCCGCTTTTCAAGTGGGTTAGGCGGGACGGGGAAACTTAAAGTACCGAGCCGAAAACCTCAGCCCAGCTCGCCAAAAATGATGGGTCAAATGGGCCGATCCAGCGGGTCCGACCCTTTTTGCCACCCCAATCCGCGAGTATCTCAAAATCTAAAGATATTTGTTTGACAAATACCCACACAAATATGGAACGTGTATGTGTTTCATATTTACTAAATGAGATGGATAGCGGAGAATTAGTACTCATGTCTACAGGTACTCATTGTCATTCCTATATACAACTGAAATTCTAACTATTAAATTACTAGAAAAAAATAAAATAACATAATAAATAAAATCAAGACACATAAAGTACAAGTTTAGAGGTTTAATTTATTAGAATTTAAAATAATAGTTGGTGAAAATTGAGTAATTGAGTTTAGAGAGGGAGTGAGAGATTTAGAAAGAGTATAATTGAGGGTGAAAAGTATTTGCATTCAACATTCTCATTACAATAATACTTAAAAGTATATATATATATATATATATATATATATATATATATATATATATATATATATATATATATATATATATATATATATATATATATATATATATATATATATATATATATATATATATATATATATATATATATATATATATATATATATATATATATATATATATATATATATATATATATATATATATATATATATATATATATATATATATATATATATATATATATATATATATATATATATATATATATATATATATATATATATATATATATATATATATATATATATATATATATATATATATATATATATATATATATATATACACACACACACACACACACACACATAAGTATAGTTGATTTAAATGTATTTTAGTATCATCAATGTATTTTAGTAGTAAGGTGATTTACTGTAGGCCGATGCAATTATGCGTTAAGTTTGGAAACGAGTTAGTGTAGTGTGAGTGCACGCTCGTCGAGCCAACGTGTAATTGAATGCGAATAATTGAAAATGGGTTCCGAGAGACGAAGCCCCTGGCAGGGGGCGGGGCAGCTCCCCGTTGGGGTTCCAAGGGGCAGAGCCCCTAGCTGGGGTTCCGCTGCCAGGTCAGGAAAGTTTTCTGAACAGTTGAACTCTTTCCCAACCGACTTAACCGTTTTCTGAACAGTTCTGTCTTTTCGGTTTCTGTTATTAATCTCCTATATAAGGAGTCATTTGGCCTCAGTTTAAAACGCTTAACAAATACCATATTTTCTCTCTACATTCTTGATCTGTTCTCTATTGCTAGAAGCAGATTGTTCTTCAAGAATTATCCCCACAAAGATTTCGTGAACCCAGGCAATAATAGGATTGAAATACTTGGTTTGGAAAGTGTACGAACACGATTCCTCGAAGTTATCCAGGATTATCATACTCAAATTTCTAACAAACGAACAAAGTAATTTCTGATAATCATGGCTGAAGGAAGCACCATCAAGAAGATGACTACAAATTTCGGAAAATTGGACAAGTTTCAAGGACAAGACTTCAGGCGTTGGCAGAAGAAGATGCATTTCATGTTGACAACGTTGAAGGTAGCGTACGTCCTGTCTACACCGATTCTAGAACTTCAGGAGGAAGACACGGTTGAAAATCTGAGACGCAGATCAAAGTAGGAGAACGACGACTACATATGCAGAGGGCACATTCTTAACGGTATGTCTGATCCCTTATTTGATATTTATCAAAACATGGAATCTGCAAAGGAATTGTGGGATTGTCTCGAATCCAAGTACATGGCAGAGGACTCATCCAGTAAAAAGTTCCTGTTAACCAATTTCAACAATTACAAAATGGTTGAATCGAGGTCTGTCATGGAACAATTCAATGATCTCCTCCAAATCCTTGGACAGTTCACACAACACGGATTGAAGATGGATGAAACAATATATGTCTCAAGCATCATAGACAAGTTGCCTCCTTCATGGAAGGATTTCAAACACAATTTGAAGCATGGACAAGACGAACTGTCTTTGATCCAACTTGGAAGTCACTTGCGCATAGAAGAACCTCTAAGAGCGCAGGAGGGTGACAAAGGAAAAGGCAAAGAAATTGTTGGACCCTCGGTTAATATGGTTGAAGAGGGCGGTAAGAACGATAACAACAAAAACAAAGGAAAGAAGCGTGCTTTCAAGAACAAAAAAGGCAGTTTCGGTGCTAACAAGAAACCGACACTAGAATGCTGGAAGTGTGGCAAAACAGGCCACTTCAAGAAGGATTGTCGTTCCGGAAAAAGACATGATAACGCGAATGCAAGTGGTTCAGGAAAGGGGTCTAAGGACCAATCCGAAAACCAAGGTCAGAAATCAATTCGTGATTTGAATAGTTTGATTAAACATTTGGTTTCACTAAATTCTGAAGCATTTTATGTGCAGGATGATGCTATCGCGTGGTGGATTGACTCTGGCACCACAACACATGTTTGCAAGGATCGTTTCTGGTTCAAGACTTTTGTTCCAATGGAAGATGGCTTTGTTCTCTACATGGGAGATGATCACTTCGCTCCCGTTGAAGGCAAAGGAAACGTGGTGCTAGAATTCAGTTCTGGAAAGACTATTACTTTGTTTAATGTTTTGTATGTTCCTAAACTACGTAAGAATTTAATTTCTGGTCCTGTATTAAATAAGCTTGGATACAAGCAAGTGTGTTAATCCGATAAATATGTTTTATCGAAGTCTGGTGTGTTTGTAGGATTTGGATATTATAATAATGGTATGTTTATGATGAATTTGAATGGAGTTCCTAATGATTCTGGTTCTGTATTTATGTCCTCTTCGAGTGTTATCAATTCATCGTTATGGCATGCTCGTCTAGGACATGTACATTATAAAAGAATGCATGAAATGTCTAAAGATGATTTAATTCCTATTTTTGATGAAAATGTAGAAAAGTGTAAAACTTGCATGTTAACAAAGATCACTAGGCAACCTTTTAAAAGTATAACAAGGAAATCTATCATTCTTGAGTTGATACATAGTGATTTATGTGATTTGCATGCTACTCCATCATTAGGGCATAAAAAATATTTTGTCACTTTCATAGATGATGCATCTAAATTCTGCTATGTTTATTTGTTGCACGATAAGGACGAAGCCTTAGATAAATTCAAAATTTATAAAACTGAAGTTGAAGTGCAACAGAATGTGTTGATTAAAACATTACGTACAGATAGAGGTGGTGAATATTACGATCCTGTATTTTTCCAATCCGTAGGAATCATTCATGAGACTATGGCACCTTATACACCTCAACAAAATGGTGTGGCTGAAAGGAAAAATATAGTTCTTAAAGAAATGGTGAATGCCATATTATCTTACTCTGGTTTGAGTGAAGGGTTTCGGGGAGAAGCTATGTTAACGAATTGCTATTTGTTAAATAGGGTTCCTAATAAAAGGAACAAAACTACCCCATATGAACTTTGGTATAAGAAACGACCCAACTTAACATTTCTACGTGTTTGGGGTTGTAGGGTCGTGGTTAGACTCCCGGACCCAAAAAGGAAAACTTTGGGTGAAAAAGGTGTAGCTTGCATCTTTGTTGGATATGCTGAGCACTCCAAGGCCTATAGGTTTTATGTTATAGAACCTAATGACTCGATTTCTATTAACACGATTATAGAATCGAGAGATTCCATATTTGATGAGAATTGTTTCTCTTCTATACCTAGACCAAAGTACTCTATACCTAATTCAGATG